TACTTTTGGTTTTCCCTTTCCACTCAAAGAATCCCCTTTAATATTTCTTGCAGGGTTTGTTTTATGGTCACAAAGTCCTTTAGTTTCAGTTTGGGAAACTCTTTATCTCCCCTCCTATTGTGAAAGATAACCTTGCTGGATGGAGTATTCTTGGCCGCAGATTTTTGAGTACATCATGCCGCTCTTTTCTGGCTTGTCAAGTTCCTGAGGAGAGAGAACTGCAGCTGGCCGGATGGGCCCTCCCCTGTAAGTTAGGGACTTCTTTTGTTTTACTGCTTTTAAGGATTCTTTTATCACTATATTTTGCAAGTTTAATTACATTATGTCTCGGTGTTGGTCTGCTTTTATTGATTCTGATGGGAGTTCTCTGTGCCTCCTGGATCGGGATGTCTGTTTCCCTCCCCAGATTAGGGAACTCTTCAGTTATTACTCCTCAAGTAGATTTTTATTGTTTTTCTTCTTCTAGCCTTGTGTTCATTGCATTTTTTTTATTCATTGCATTAAGCTTGTTTCCAATCTCAGTTATTGTATTTTGCATTTCTGATCCTTTTATCTCTGCAGTAAGGGTCTCTCTGAAGTCTTCCATTTTTTTCTCAAGCCCACTGAGTATCCTTATGATCATTGTTTTTAAATTTTCCGTCAGGCATATTACTTATATCTGTTTTGCTTAGATCTCTAGCCATGGCCTTATCTTGTTTCATTTGGGATGAATTCCTCTTCTTGGCATTTCATCTAAGTCCCTTTTTCTCTGTGTTAGAAAAGGCTGTTATGTTTCCTCCCCCTGGAGTAATGGCCTTATGAAGATGAGGTTATGTAGTGTCGAGGGCCTGGCGCTTGAGGAAGTGTCTCCAGTGTGTGCTGCGTGCACTTCGCTGCTGTGTTTTGGGTGCTCTATCCTCCAGGTCATTCACCTCCAGAGGCCCCCCTGGCCTGCAGCGGGGATTGGTGGTTCTTGGCCAGAGTGTGACTGGCTTGAGCTAGGTGCGCTCTGGTCGGCTTGTTACATGAGACTTGTTACTACTTCCGCTAGGAATGAAGCCTTGCAGAACTCTCTGGTCTGATCAGGAGACATGGTGTGGCCAGGGCTTTGGGGAAGGGGTGATCACACTGAGCTGAGCCAAGCTTGACCGAGAAGGGCATTTGTACCAGAGTGCAAGTGTGTGGGACTTGGAGCAAGTCGGGTAGGAAGCCAGTATTGGGCTGGGCTGCCCTCAGCAGGTGGCTCTGCACGGATGCTGAGGGGTGGGAGAGGGAAAGGGTGCGGCCAGCTCCTTTGTCCCTATACAGGTGCCTCTGTGAATGCTACCTCTCAGCGATGCCCTCCAGTAGTTATCTGGTTGCTGACTATGGGCTGAGAGGAGCCTAGGGCTTTCCTGCTTTGCTGTCATCTCAGCTCCCTTCTCCAAAGGCCCAGACTTTAAAAAGAGAGGGCACATGGGAGAGTGAGAAAGAAGAGTTGCATCCAGTGACCCCTCGACCAGTTTTCAAAACGAAGGGGAATCAGTGATAGAGCTGGGTTGTTCTAGACGGAAAAGCGGGTAATTAAGCAGGTGAGGGGAAGGTGACGTAGACTGCCAGTCGAGAACTTCCAGATTTTCGCTTCACTTTGGAGTCCCTGTGTCTTTATCTAGGAAAGGCATTGTAGTGTAAGTTCCTTAAACAGGAACAAGGGTCACGAGAAAAGGCTCCGGAAATAGGTCTTTATTTTAAAAGGCATTTAAAAAGTGCTCCTTCTGTTGTTTTTCCCAAATCACCAAGTGTTTGCCTGCTGAGTTATGTGGTGCAACGCTGACCTAAGTCCTTGGGGCTACTGTCCAGCAAGCGAATAGTAGTCAAATATCCTGGGGAAAACTATTGAATTTTAATTTTCCATGATCTTTCCAATGAGGTTTTGTTCTGATGTTTAAAAATGCCATTATGACTGATTTAACTCATAGTTTCCATTTACAAAAAGTGATTGAGACTTAACAAATACTGAAGAAAAATTTGGAAATCCACTTCTTACCGCAGCGCTCTACTATGGAAACAACTCACTTCTTTGGGTTCTCCTCCACACTTTCTGGACTGGCACAAAGCACAGATAGACTTCAGGGAAGACGGTAGAGACGACCACTTTTCAATCCACTTTTCACATAATCTGAACAGTGTGTTCCACATGGTGAGAAGCCAAATGCAGAGTATTAAAAAGTTAGACAATCCCTGCCTTCAGGGAAGTGATGGGCCTCTAAAAAGAGGCTAAAAATAATGACATCATGAAAAATCAGAGGCCTGTACCAGGGGGCACTGTTGATGCCTCACTCTCTATGTCCACCGCCTGCCTCTGAGCTCACTGGAAGGAGCAGTTGAGGTTCCCCACGTTGCAGCTTTGCCTCATGGGCTTCTTGCTGCTTCTCCACTAGCTCTCTCTGACCCACAGCAGCTTGCTGAGCCCATCTGCAGGAAAGTTCCAGAAATGCCTGGGATTTGACATGGCAGGGGGCAACCTTCAACCAATGAGAAATGGGAGCTGGTGGGTAAGGATAGCAGCCTCCCCAGCCTTCAGGGGTCTAAGAACCATCAGGCCCTGCTGCCTTCAGTGGGAACCTCCTCTTTCATCTACTCGTGATTGTCTTTGTCCGTTGTGGGCTTGCTTTATCCCTTCCTCCGATGGGCTTCCTGAGAGAGTGAGGACTAAGTAACCAGGCTGCAGGTGGGCACACAGCTGGCAGGGAAGCCCCCCACCCTGGGGGGATCACCTGAGAAGATGCGGGAGCTTGAGCCAGAGTGTGGGGACATGAAATGTGGAAAGGGGAGCCGCGGTGATCTTAAAGAGTGACCAGTCGCCTGGAAGCCAAGGAGAGGTTCAGCCAGGCCTAGGGAGCTAAACACCGAATGTGTCCACGTTGAAAAAGCCAGTGAGGTACCAAACTAGGCAAAAAGAATCTATGTTTCAAGAAGTCAGGGACTTGGTAGTGACTGGAAGGGGTGGGGACAGAAATTGGGGTGCTGCTGAGCTGTGTACCTTAAACATCAAGCTGCCTGTTTGTCATATATGCACTTTCTGTGGGTATGGTATATATTAGCAAAAAGTGTAAAGGAACCAGCAGTAGGTCAGTTCAGGTGGGGCAGCTGGAAATCAGATAGCAATAGGTCATATTGCCGCTAGAATGTGAAAAATGAAAAATGGAATACCCTGAAGAAGCTTGACTCTATCAGCTGTCCATTGCTGTGTCACAGACCATCCCAAAACGTAGGGGCTTGTGACACTGACTGCTTCATTTGCTTATAATTCTGTGTCAGCCACTCGGGCTGGGCTCAGCTGGGTGGTCCTTCTGTAGTTTCTCGGGCATCGGCCTGGGTCGGGGTGATCTAGCATAGCCTCACACCCATGTCAGGCAGTTGGTGCTGTCATCTGGACCTCTCTCTTGGCTTGGTCTCTCATACTCACTGGGTGCCAGCATTTTAGGAGGATAAGAGTAGAAGTTGCAGTCTTCCTGGGGTGTGGGTTTGAAAGTTGTATAGTATCACTGCAGCCACGTTTTTTTTTAAGATTTTATTTATTTATTCATGAGAGATACAGAGAGAGAGAGGCAGAGACACAGGCAGAGGGAGGAGCAGGCTCCATGCAGGGAGCCCGAGGTGGGACTCGATCCCGGTCTCCAGGATCACACCCTGGGCTGAAGGCAGCGCTAAACACCCGGGCTGCCCTGCAGTCACGTTCTATTGGTCAAAGCAAGTCATAAGCCCCTCCCTGGTTTCCTAGTAGGGAATGGTGGAGACCTAGACGGAGCATGCCTCACCTTCAGGGGCCAGCTGTTCAGCTCCAGCAGGGATTGATGCTCCGTGTCCCATTGCTCCTAGACATTCTGATTTTGTATAAAAGTCAGAAACCTAAAATGTCATGTGAAATCTCTCAATTTTTATATTTAGCAACTAATTCACGATGTTAAAAAACGTTACATGGTCCAAATAAGTATACCTCTGACCTTGATGTAGCCTATGAGCCTTGAACCTCTGCCTCAGATTAGAGCAAGAGTTAGAATAATAGAGACCATCATTCTCCAATAGAAGTGGAAACAAATTTTAGAAATCCATACTCTCCCTCTGGCCTGTGGGCCATCAGGCCATGACTTTTGGTTTATTTCTGAGTACAGGAGACCAACAGTGTAAAATTTGGAGAAAATCACCTTTTACTCCTTCCCCTTAGACACCTCCCTATGCCCTCCCTCCAGCTGAGAACCTCCACTTGGAAACTACTATTTTTATTTTAGTAATTCTATTTTTTAATTGAAGTATAGTTGATATACAAAATCCTATTACTTTCAAATATACATCGTAGGGATTCAGCATTTTTACACATTATAAAACGATCCCTAAGATCATTTTAGTTAGTCTAGTTATTCTCTGGAAATCACGATCATTTTATTGCCTTCTGGAAGTATGAAAGAAGTCCAGACCATGGGTTGGGCATGGGGTGTATTGTCCTCTCTATTCAAGATGGCCTGTCTCACTTTCAGAGAGGGGATGAAAGACATGTGCTAAAGAAGATGAACATTTGTTCTCTTTCATTCCAGTCTTTGCTATTTTCTCCAGCTTGGTAGTTCCTATACTTGCACCCAAATGCCTTTTATTTCAGGCACTTTCTTATTTTGAGAATGGAAGTAACTTTGCACTCTCAATTCACTAGAACATGGGCACCATGAAGGGCCACCTGGTGTGGCTTGTTCACTGGTGCACCCCCACCACCGCCCACTGGCCTTGCTCAATATGTGCTTACTGGAAGCTGTCTCAGTCTTTTAATAGAAATTTGCCACCTCACTCTATCATCGCACCTCAGAGGCCTGAGAGTAGCAGAGGATGCTGAGACTCTGAGGTTGACCTTCCGCAAGGACCCACGACTGGGCTGTGGGGCAGGGTTCCGCAGACACACGGTTCTGTTCCAAGCTCAGACATGCAGCAGTCTGGCTCGCAAAACCCCAGTGCGGAACGAGGAGTCTGGTTTTGAAATAAAGGGACACTGCTAATTTCACACTTTTTAATTATTTAATTAATGAATATTTACATTTAAAAAAAAAGCATTTAAGGAACCCGGCACAGAGAGCATTGATTGTGAGGCAGAGAATGGATACATGCATCATTTCCAATGCTTCACAAAGGGAAAATTCACGGGAAACTGAGTCTCCTGGGTTCACAGTTCTGAATACAAACCCTTCAGCCTATCCATCCTCATTTTAACACCTTAGTTACAAACATCGTCAACCATGTGTGCTTATGAATGCCCAGCTGGGAGAAGCCTGCTTTAGCTGACAACATCTCTTTCCAGAACCAAAAATCACATGATTTTATTTCTGAAAGGACTTGACCTTATTAGAGCTAAATCTGCTGTAGAATGTTGGGCTCTGGGATAGGGACACTTGGAAACCTTGTTAAGGAGGAGATCAGGCTTCATCCAAATCTGTTTGGTTGAGGTCCTCTGTCTGGACATTCTCTGCTCTCACTAGAGGAAGGATCGGTAGGCTTTTCTTAAAGGTGGTGAATATTTTAGGATTTGCAGATCATTTGGTCATGAATGCATGTAAATGAATGGATGTGGCTGTGTTCAAATCAAACTTTATTTACAAAAACAGGAGACCCGGCCTTGGTGTGCCATGTGCTGCAGTAGAGGTGAGGCTAGGAGCTTGAGTTCTGTCCAGAATATCAATATATTCTGAATGGATGCTCATTGCCAATTCTTTGTGGGGTTTTTTTTTGTGTGTCAGTGGTAGGTAGTCCAACGGCAATACTTTGGTATGAAGTTTTAGAGTGGTTTAGGAGAATATCAGTACCTTTGGCCCAGATTATTTTGTGGGAAGAAATCCAAGTAGATATACATTAGGAGAGCATGATGTTCTATTTCCTGGAGTCAAGCAGATTTAGGGTGACATTCACTTACATGCATTTATTAAGAGTAAAGTAAAGGACTATAGCTGCTTGGGGATAGGAAAGAGTAAGTGAGCCTGAATTTTGGTTGGATTGCCATCCTAGTCTCTGACTTTGCAACTTCCAAATATCGGCATGACCAATTTTCATTTATCTTACGTGTGATTACTATTTTAAAGTTAAAAATAGTAGAAAGGTAAAAGAAAATGGCCTACAAGAACATAAGTCCTAAAACATCTGGTTCCTTTAATGAATGCTTCCAATCTTAAGTCAGTCAGGACTGTCTGACATATGAATTAAATGCCACTGAGAATCATTATCATTTTATGGTACCTGTCCACTCCCCTAAAATATTGTGAATTCACTGACTTTTCATCTGCAACTTTCTGAGAGATGCTGATGAATTCCTTTTCTCATGAATTTCTAGATTCAAGAATTTCTCAAGGTCCATCCATTTTAAACCTCCAAAGTGCCAGTAGTAATTGGCCTCAGAGGATCTTCCAGGGAAATAAAAATGTATTCATAAGCAAACTTAAAGTCCTTTAGCATTTGCTCATTTTATCCAGAGAGAGATGGGAAGACGTGAAGGATCCTCTTTGCCCCCTGCTACATAGGATGACAGACATCAGAAAATGCTCAAGCGCCATATCAGATCAGGGATGTTAAAAAGACGATTACCTCTGTCAAAAAATAATCATATTTTGTCAGTAGCTTAGAAGAGTAAGGTAAACTGAAAATTTGTTGTAGGGGCCTAATTTTTTCAGAAACTCTTTTCTTGTCCTCTAAAATGGATTATATAATAAGGAGGTGCTCTGCTTGGGGACAGAGGCCAAGGGAATAAGGAGCGAGGAGATACAGGAGGAAGTGCAGGTTCCTCCGATGGGTAGGCAGGTCTGGTTCACAGTGTATCGTGGCCTGACATCTGCAGAAAGGCTGCTTTGCCTGCTGCTCTCAGCTGGGAGACTGTTCATTCATGAGCTATTACAATTTCCCAAGTTAGTACATAAGAGATGAACGGCTCATGGTTTTGACTACCAACAGATGAGATTTCCTTCCAAGGGTGCGGTTAACACAAAACCAGTAACCTCTCCAAGCCTCTGCGTGATGCATTAGAGTTGAGAGTTAAGAACATCCCAAGGAAGGGCGCGCGTCCCCACGTGGACACTTGATACGGAGCAAATGCCTGCACCCGACCGGCGATGTTGAGTGTCCTCTAACAACAAAGCTTGGACAATCTGAGTAGTTTGAACAGCTATTCTACTTTCTACCATTCATTTTGTACAATCACAGAATTTTTCTTTCTTGAAAACAAAAATTGTTCCAGAGATTACCAGAATATTGGGTACAGCACTGAGGGGCATTTCAGGAGATTCCAATCGATTAAAAATGTCGACCAGATTCCTAATAGCTTTTCAAGGCTTCGAATCATTTGCATTTTAAAGTTGATATCAGATATTGCAATGTTAAAGATAAATTATTCTAACTTCTATTATCAGATGGTAGTGGTGTTAGAATGATGGGTAATCAGGCCACGCAGTACGCCTCGTGTCCATACCCCATGTGACTTTTGCAGAACGCTGCCCTGTGTAAGCTGCTGTTGCAAACAGGTAACTATTGCACAGAATCTTCCATAAAATCCACCCAGGTAAAGCTGGCAGCCTCTCATCTTTGCCGAAGAACATCTTGCCTTTGAAAGAAATGCAGCAGAAAGGAAACTTGCCACAGAAACCACAGGAAGATTTCTTGCCTGAGACTCTGTAAGTTTGTCATTCCGTTAGCTCTCCCCTCCACCTCATTTATTCACCCACCAGTTACTGAGAACCTCCAATGTGCCAGGTACTGTTCCAGGCTCTGAGAATACACTGTGAACAAAACATAGCAAAGTCCCTGACCCATGGAGCTTACATTCAAACGGTGGGACACAGATGAGTGCTCAAATCCATGATATCACAGTGTTCAAAAGAGCCTAGAGGTATCCTGCCTGAGATCTGTTTCCTGCCTCTCCTCACTCATGGACAATGACAAAGTCAAGGGAGAGGCCACTAATGGACCACAGCAATTTCACTAGTCCTACCTCCACCATCTCTCAGTTGGATGAACTCAAGTGAGACCTTCAACCTGGGCCTCGGTTTCCTCATCTATAAAATGGGGAGAGGTTATATTAAGTGATTTTTTTTTCTTCTAAAAGAGAAGGGGACCTTTTAGGCTTTTATTTTTCATGGTATTAGGAGAGCATTTTGAACAAAATCAAAAGCCAGTGTGTTGACTGTTTTAGTTTTAAAAATATTTAAAAGTAAACTGTAAGAAATCCTTAGGTATTCCACATCCACTCAACACTTTAAATGCCAATTTAAACTTCATCAATAGCAAATATCTTGTTTACAGCTGCCATACAATGAAGTCTTTTCACCATCTTCAGCTGAAAAAGTATTTATTCATAAAGCACAGTCCTACCTCATTTGTGAAAGGTTCTCTCGCTGCAAAGTCCTCTCCTGAGTGTGACACTCTCTCCTACTCACCCCGATTATTTTTTTTTCACCCGATTATTGACTTTGTGCTCCTGTTTAATGTTTCCCAAGCTCTATGAAAACAAGGATTGGGTCCTTGCTTTTTTGAGGAATGACCCCAATGAGATTCGTGCCCGGTAATACACACATGTGTCATCGGTGCACCTACATCATGTTTCATGGGCACGGGCCTTCTGGGAACCCACCTCAGCTCTTCAGGCTGTCAGAATAGTTCTGCTCAGTAAAATTAGAGCTATGGTGTACCAAAGGGTACACTACTATTCAAAAAGGAAAAAAAAAATGGGTTTCCAGAACAATTCATAGACTAGGACGATGTGAATTAATGAAGATCCTAACTTCTTTGGAAGCCTGGTGGAATGTTAATGCATATTTAATAATGCCAGTTAAGTAGCACATACTTTGCAATCATTAATTTTTCTTAAAGAAGGTAACATAGCTGGAGAGCTGAATGTCAAAGTTAGGTTCCTACTTATTAAATTGGTAGGAGTTATGAAGCCTCTGGGTCTCTTGAAAGACAACTTGCATTCAGTGGCTTGATTTTCCAATGTTAAAATTCAAATCTCAATCAATCCAGAAGCTAAGGATGATAGGAAATTTTATACGACTACAAGGAATCTTCTTTTCTTGTCTGGGTCAGATCCCCATGGCTGCCTTGGAGGCTTCTGAAGCCTGTATGCTCTGTCTCTGAGTTTTAGCAGTTGGCGTGAAATGAAATATCCAACACGTGTTTTCAAATTTGATCGGGTGGGCCTTATCAAAAGAACATAGCTTGTCATTGCCTTTGGAGGCAACGTGAAATCTCTGCCTCAATAACCAAATTTAATTCCTTCCTGTTGCTCTGTGGTGTGAAGATCTATAGTGTCGATGTTATCAGACGCGCCTGTCATGGGCTGCTGTGTACAGAATGTCTGCCCCCATCCTTTCGGTCACTGCAAGGGGAACATCCTTGGTTGGGTGAACACTACTACTTCAGGACCAGATGGGCAGGGGCATCCCATGTCACCTGGAAGAACCCGGAAGCAGCATCACGACGCCTTCTAGTAATACACAGCGTCTCAAACAGTGTCTGCATGTACTATGAAGTGAGGGCAGGTCCAGCAGTCATCGGCTGCATAAATGAGGGTCAGAGAAGAATAAGGAGGTCTTGACAATTTTTGGCAACCTGGATCACAGGTATAGATAAATTCTTGTTAGCAAAGGAAAGGCACTTCGGTGTCCATCGTGGAATCTGAGCATGTGTTTAAGTTGTTGAGCGTATGCTACCAATCAGAATAGGGTCCCTTTTTCACAAGGATAAACAGGAGGAATTATGAAGCCCACCTGATGTTCAGTGTCCTTATCTCAGTAGGACTGCAGCCCTGCCCGGCCAACCCAAAGGGTCCACGGGGTGGAAACAAGTGTGCATCAGGCAGGGCTGGCTGTGGCTGTGAGGATCTCCATAAAGTCACTGTGTGCAGTGTACTTTTTCAAGGAGGAAGTCCTTGAGCTGCAAACAAATACAACCCTTAGGTCCAAACCTCTGTGGGCACCATGGCTTCTTTGGTCCCAACGGAAGGCAGTAGGCTTTCTTCAGACAAGAAGTAAAAGGGGAATTGCACTAAGAAGCCACGAATCTTTTTCAGTTCTTCCTCAGCTCTAATGGGATCTTCCCTTGCTAATATGGGCTTGGTTATAAAGTCTCTCAATTGAATTAAATTGTGTACTTCATCATTGGGAAGGCACCGGAACACCTGATTAAGACACAAATAGGAAGAAACTAGGTCATAAGTTTAAAAGAAAAGATAAAAATAAAAAATCTTTAAAAAAAAGAAAAGAAAAGATAGCTCCTTTATGGAAAATATTCATTCCAACTGATGAAATCTTTGCTTTATGAAACACGTAGTATGCTACAGCACACACCTGACTGAAGAGTTGCTTCTCTTATTTGCTACAAAGAGACTACTAGAGTAGTCTCTACTCTAGTAGAGATTTTTTTTGATGCTTCCATCAAAAAAAAAAAATCATAGGTAGATCCCTCTATCTGATTTACACAAGTCATCGATGTCATGATAAAGTCAAGCTAGTGGTACAGGAATTCCACTGATGTTAGTTCACATTAAGGTTAAGTTTTTTGATAATAATTCTCCAAATTTCACTGGAGGTTCTGGTCTAAGAGGAAAACTGCATATTATGTTTTTTATTTTCAAAAATGTTCATATCTGCACCTTAAAGTTATCAATTGTACACTTAATTTGCCAATTGCAAATGAGCTTCACATACCAGAATACTTCCCTCCTAGAAATTTCAGCATGTATTGAGAATAAGGATGTGCCTATACAACCCCAATATCATTCTCACACCTCAGAAAATCAATTCCAAGTCATTTAAGATATGGTCCATATTCAGATTTATCCTATTAATCCCAAAATGTTTTTTTTTTTTATAGCTGCCATCCTCTCCTCCCATGAGGATCCAAACAAGGCTGTGCACTGCATTTTTAAAATTACATTTTAAAGGACTCCATGCACATGACCTATTTGATCATGGCCCTGAGTCCTCAGCATGAAGTAAAGCTATGGAGACTGTCATGTTTCATTAGGAATGATGAATTCTCTGTGCTGGAAGGGACGCTGGCAGTCATGAAGAAGAACAACACACTCTTATCTAGTTTCTGATAGATGGTCAGCAGATCTCAGCTTGAATAGTTTCTATGAGAGAAAGCTGGCTACTTCATGAAGTAACTCATTCCACTGTTGGACAACTCTTAACTCTTCTACATTCTTTGTCATATCCCATGGAGAGAACTTAGCAAAAGATACATTTGGCCTCCCTAACGTATGGAGCTTGTTTTAAAACACCCTTCCAAAAGTAGAGCTGCCCAACAAAGGAAGTGTTTCATTATTAATAAATTCCATCACAGGAATGGATACCATTTATTATGCACTATGTGCTAAATACATTTAAAAAACTATTCTTTATTTTCATAACCACCCTCATGAATATCTTGCCCACTTTATAGGATAGGAAAGGAGGGCTCAGAAAGTCAAATCACTACACACAAATTTGTATCACCAGCAGCTGGGCGAGCTGGGTTAAACCCAGGTCTGACTCATTTTGGGATTCCATCTGCCTCTTTTCTCTTTGTCACTAGACACGTCCAAAGGCTGGGTAACCACCTTCTAAGGATGCTCATGATGGGATCCCACAGTCACATGAGAGATCAGAATGCCACTAATGGCTCTTCTACACCATAATCCATGATACTTTTTGACTCTGTTTTTTAATATCTACAAAGCGGTATTTTATTACAACTTGGAAATGTACTGGATTTTTACACCCATTAACATTACTCTGCACCAATAATATACAGTAATAATGATGTGTTTTTGTGGTGTGATTCAATGAAAAAGGTAGGGGGAAACCTCACCTTATCATATATTGTAGCATTTCGAGCTGCCGTTGCAACCCACACCTCCTTGAAGAATTTGTCACTCACTGGATCCTGAATGTTTTCACTTGGGTCAGAAAGATAGCCAAGGACAACCCTGCAATACAAGTACCTTCCAAAATGAGTAACTGAGATAAAGAAATTTGCTGCAGGCATTGTTTCTAATGGTAATGTAATTCAGGCACTCAACCATAGCAGTCCTTTTTCTTTTTCTTTTTTTCTAAGGAAAATCCAAGGAAACCATTAAAACTGTGTGTGCGTGCGTGTATAAAATCTTGATTGCAAAACCAAACCAAACCAAACTAAGAAAACCCAAGCTGTTATGATGCTTGAAAGTTTTAACTATTGGATAGATAGAAAGATCTGAATTTAGTTCTAAGAGACTCCTTGGAATTTGGCCTAAGGGAGTGAGAAGTTTGAAGATAGGGTTAGCATTCAAACCATAGGCCAAGGGGCACCTGGGTGGCTCAGCTGGTTGGGAATCTGACTTTTGATTTTGGTTCAGGTCATGTTTTTTTAAAGATTTTATTTATTTATTCATCACACACACACACACACACACACACACACACACACACACACACACACACACACAGAGGCAGAAGGAGAAGCAGGCTCCATGCAGGGAGCCCAACGTGGGACTTGATCCCGGGACTCCCAAGATCACGCCCTAGGCCAAAGGTAGGTGCTAAACTGCTGAGCCACCCAGGGATTCCCCCCCCCAACTTTTTTTTTTTTTAAACAGGCTTCTGACGCACATCCAGCAGGTTAATCCTTTAAGAGAACATGACCCCAGAGTGCCTGGCAAAAAAGAAGCCACATACTAGATGTTGTCTGACTTGATCATATATAGATAGTGGACTAGAAACAATAAGAAATTCTCAAGCAAATCAAGATAAGTTTTAGAGGTCATATTTGAAAATGATGAAAACCCTTGTACTTAAAGAATGCCTTGAAGTAAAAAAAACAAAACAAAACAAAACAAAATCAACCATTTTCACGTCACTCCTGTGAGGTACAGAGTACATGATTCCCACTTTGCAGATGGGAAGCTAAAATCTGGAGACACACTATTGACAAAACTAGATTTCAAGTGGAGTCTAAAGCCCTGTCTCACATGCCTGATAGGTTCAAAGAAGATCAAAGAGGCTTGTGTTATACTGAAGACAGAAGTGAGGAAATAGGTCTAGAAGGACTTTGACTTTTATACTGAGTGAAACCGGGACATATCGCAGACACTGGAGCAGAGGAGTGACAGGATCTGACTTGAGTATGAAAATACGGCTTCTGTATTCAGAACAGACTGTGCAGGGCAAGGGCTGCGGCAGGGAGACCACGTAGGAGCTCCTGCAGTAATCGGAGTGAAGGGTGAGGATTCCTTGGGCAGTGAGGAGGAAGGTAGGGCCAACAGGCTGTACTGACGGAGCAGGTATGCAATATGAGAAAAAGCATGGCATCAAGGATGATGGGTGTTGGCGTGAGCATCTAGAAAAATGTAGTTGCCATTGGCGGACATGGGGAGTTCTGTTGGTAGAGCCAGTTTGTGGGAGAAGACCAGGAAATCAGTTCTGAACCTGTTGAGACTTCCATTAAACATTCCCGGGGTAATCAACGCAAAGTTGATTCATTGCTGGAGCAATGAATCCGGAGCTGGGGGGAGAGGGCCTGGGTGGAGATAAGCATTTGAGAGTTGTTCTTATATATATTCATAAAGCCATGGCACTTTAGCTGGGTTCCCCCAAGGGGTGAGTGTAGACAGAGAAGAGGACCTGCTGTGCCTTAGGGGTAGGGAGGAGGAGGAGCAGCCAGCGAGCCCGCAGAAAAGCGAGGGTGTGCTATCCTGGAACCACACAAGGTTCTCCAAGGAGAACTGGGTCAAATTCAGATGAGAAGTGACCATTGGATTCCGCGGTAGAGGTCATTCTAGTGTTACTCTCTCTGTATTTAAATAAATGTGGATTCACGTCATCATTTTTTAATGGTCGCAGAATTTCCCATCATGGAAAATTTCTTGAACCAATGATTTTGTTATGACCTTTTGGGGGGTTTCCAGGTTTTCATTATAATGAACAATTTCCCAATGAACATAAGTTGTTCATCGTGTATAATACTTTGTGAATTTATGAATTTTTTCACCAGGAAAAGTTTTAGAATTAAACTTGGCTTCAAGAAAGGCTGTTCCCACACATACACTGTCACCGTGCATGCTCTCCCCAGTCATCTCCAACATTATTAATTCCTGAAAAAGCACAGCCAGTCTTACAAGGATAAAAGGACATCTCATTTTAGTTTTAGTCTGCACTTTTCCCACTCTATAAACATTCTTTAAAATAAATGGATTTGGCACCATGGGCTCCCTAGGATTTTTAGAGTTTTATACTCTAAAAATTTTATTTCCACTTCAAATACTGTCTCCTTCAGACTCTATAGGAATAACTTTTAAAACAGATTTAAGGGATGATGTTTGCACACAGATGCTGGCTATTCAATAAGATTCAAAGCAAACTCGGAATGCACCAAATCTGAAGTCATGACAATACATCAATTATAATAATACTTTTGATGGGGATCAGGTCTAACCAGCCAAAAACTGAGCAGAAAGAACGTTTCTGGGACTCTGCTTTTAAATCAAATCAATAGGTAACACCACGTGTCCACCAAGGTATCAGTTCAGAACTTGATTGCAGAGTTAGTATTTAAAGAAGCCTGTAACAGATCATTTTTAATAATAAATGATTTTCCCTGTCTGTTTTCTCATGTTAAAATGCATGGTAAAAATAATATGAAATACTCTGGATATTCTTTTGAGGACTGAGGTTTGACAGAAAACTAGTCAGATTCAATGTTGGTGTGTATGACGGGAATTATTTAATGTTTAATTGTTTATGCATCAGTGGGACAGGAGGAAAACTGCAGAAGATAGTTTCTGTTCTTTCCATTCCTCATGTCTGTCACTTTACATGATTCTGAGCTCTACTTGGGTGGATAATGGTTTCTGTTGAGTGATGGTTACATCTGTACAGTTGGATAATTTTCTGGGACTTAATGAATTGTTCGGCACATAGTTGCAACATTCAATGCGGTACTATGATGTTTGACTCTATTTAGAATTGATTTCACATTGAAATGTGTCTATTTCTATTCAAAAATAACCCAGATGGAAAATGGAGTGAAGCTGCGTTTATTTTATTTTATTTTATTTTTCTAGTGAGAAAATGGCTGTATTCTAGGACAATATTATATTGAGAACATTTCCTAATAAAATCAACACAAGGTTTTTGGTATGGTGCCTTTTAATATGTTATCTGTGTTGGCCACTGGGGCAAAGTGAAAATGTTTGTTCAAAAACAAGTGCCCCTTTTAAGCAATTTGAAAATTGTCAGTAAAATAAAAGCCCCTAAGAATATGCTTAGCATGAAATGTTTAAGAGCAGCATAAAAAGGTTAAAATAAAACTCTAACGATTACTGAAGAGCAACGCCCCTCCCAGGAATGCAAACCCTAGAGTTTCATTAGAGAAGAATTCAAAAAGAATTTGAATAAATTGAAGCCTATACTTTGTTCCTCCAGAGGATGATTCAACATTATAAATATGTTAATTCTTTTTATATAAATCTATACATCTACTGTAATCTCAACAATAACAAAAAAATAAAGAGAATATGAATAAAAAATTCCAAAGTTCACATGGAAGAGTGAATGTTTAAGAGTAGCCAAGATTTTTCTGTCAATGAATATTGATTTGGGAAGTGGGGTGGCAAGAAGCAGTATTAAAGCACAGGCTACAAGGATGCAAATAAGACAACTATGATAGCACCGGAAGGAGAGACTAGAGATGAGTGAGGATATATAGCAATGTGGAGGCCCTGCATGTTGGAGAGGCAGAGAGTACCGCACATCATTCAGATCTGGACCAACTGGTAGGTTTGGGGTGGGGGGAGGGAGTTGGAGTCCCTACCTCACTTCTTACATTAAAATAAATTACAGATGTTAAATGTAAAAGCAGTATCAAATAAGCAGTAGAAGAAAATGCAGTATTTGATCTTGGGTTGGGGAAACTCTACTAAGAGTGTAAGAAAAGGAAGAAAATAATCTGGATAGATTTGGTTAGATTTTTGAGTTTCCCCCAAATACTTTTTTTTTTTAAGATTTTATTTTATTTTTATTTATTTATTTTTCATGTGTGATCTTTTTGTATCTGGCTTCTTTTTTAAAAAATATTTATTTATTTATTTATTCATGAGAGACACACAGGAGAAAGAGGCAAAGACACAGACAGAGGGAGAAGTAGGCTCCTTGCAGGGAGCCTGACGTGGGACTTGATCCCGGGTCCCCAGGATCAGGCCTTGGGCTTAAGGCAGCGCTAAACCACTGAGCCACTCATGAAAGACACACAGAGAGAGAGGCAGAGACATAGGCAGAGGGAGAAGCAGGCTCACGGCCTGATGTGGGACTCAATCCCAGGACCCCAGGTTCATGACCTGAGACAAGCGCAGGTGCTCAACCGCTGAGCCACCCAGGTGCCCCTCCCCCAAATACTTTAAAGATGATGCAAAGTCAATTGACAAATCAGATTTGCAACCAGTATGACAAAATAATTAGCCTTGCATATACTTAAGTTGCTCATAAATCACTCAAAGAAAGGGAAACATTCCAACAAAAATGGACAAAGGACATGAATAGGCTAGGTAATTTCTAAAAGAATAATTACCAGAACAAGATGGCTAATGAACACATTTGTTTAAGACCTCAAAAAATGCAAATTAAAATAATGAAATTCCATCTGAAATCCAACAAATTGGCAAAGATTAAATAAAATAATAGAATGCAGTGTTGGTAAAGACAGGAGAAATAAGCCCTGTAAAGCATTAGTAGCAAGATAGTAAGACATTAGAGAGTAAAAGCAGCAGCATACTTCCTTTGATTAGAAATTCCATATTCAGGATCTAGTTAAGGAAACAATTAAGAAGGTAAAGAAGATGCTACCTACAAATATATCCGCTTATTTGTTTACTTATTGTAAAGATTTTATTTTTAGGTAATCTCTATAGCCAACATGAGGCTCGAACTCACAGCCCTGAGATCAAGAGTCACATGTTCCCTGGACTGAGCCGGCCAGGCCTCCTTATATCCACTTTTTTAGACCACTGAAAAACCTGCCTGTCAATGAGGTATTAGTTAAAGGAGTCACAGCATACCCACATGATGTAATACAATGCAGTCGTTAAATGTTATAGAAGAATACTTAATGACACAGAAGCGTGTAACACTATTTAAATAATAAAGAACTTCCTAGGACTGCAAGAACCTAATTATGTTTTTAAAAAGAAATACAGGATAGTAATACATACGTACAGAACAAAGTGGAACGATATAGAGCAAATGTTAAAGCTGCTAGCTCTGGGCAGTGCGATCACAGATGAATTTAATTTTCTTATTGCTTAACTGTATTTGCCAAATTTTCTGCCACAAAAATATGTTGTAATCAGAACCACCTACACCTTTATAATTATTATACATTTAGAACTTTATAAAGAAGCTCACCCCCCCCCCTTTTTTTTTTTAGTGCAAAAGGGTGGTTTTATTCAAGCACAGCACAGGACAGGACCCATGGGCAGAAAGAGCTGCCCTGGGGTTGTGAGGAGCAATTGAGTCTATACTATGGAGCTGGGGGAGGGAAGGAAAAAGGGAGGTGCTTAAAAGGATTTGCATATGCTAAAGACAATCCTCTTTAGCATTTTATTATTTTTTTAAAAAGATTTTATTTATTTATTCATGGGAGACACAGAGAGACACACAGAGGCAGAGACACAGGCAGAGGGAGAAGCAGGCTCCATGCAGGGAGCCCGATGCGGGACTGGATCCCAGGACTGTGGCATCATACCCTGAGCCAAAGGCAGATGCTCAACCACTGAGCCTCTCAGGTGCCCCAACCCTCCCTTTAAAGAGAAAACTTAAATTCTCACAAAACCGACAAGACATGTATTTCTAGTTTACATCATGAAATATTTGCTTCCTCATCTAGGCTGCAGCAGGCCATCCATCAGTGGGCTGGTGGACAGGGTACTCATTTTAATCTCTTCCCCACTAAACAAAACAAATTCACATGAGAAGCTAATTGAAATACCAATGGTCTGAAAAACCTCTTACTGGCAAAACAATTAGTAACGAGGGCAATAAATGCAGCCATATAAACTGTGAGGAAGTATTGACAGAGTTTTGAGGGATAGATTTGCTGAGCTCCTGGGCCTGAGGGAGCAGAGGACCCCTCTCTGGAACTGAAGGAATGGAAGCTTATCTTGCTTCTCAGAGGCCGGAGCCTGGATCTGCTAGATACAAGGGCAATGGGGGCAATGGAGCCAATGGGGGCAACAAGGGCAACAGGGGCAATGGGGGGCAACAGGGCAAATGGGGCCAACAAGGCCAACGGGGCCAATGGGGCCAACAAGGCCAACAGGGCCAACGGCTGCCAGCACTTGCAGGGAGCAAGCCCTCCTTACACTCCTACCTCAAGCCAGCCCGTTTCCAAGCTCCACCATTCATGCCCCAGGGTTAAGACAACAGTGCTACGAAGCATCTGTTCCAGGCCTTTCTCCCAACACCTTAATGCTTACTCAGGCCACCGCTGCATCTCAGCACGGAGGCCACAGCCAAAAGCCATAGCTGGCAGGTACAGCTCTAGCATCATGGACTGAGGGCCCTAGGTGTAGGGGGCGGGTGTGCTCTGGGTGTTCCCCGAGTGAAGTAACAGGTCGGGGCTAGGTTCTAGAAGGACCACTCTGACCACCGAGACTCCATTATAGGGGCTGGAGTGGGACCGGTTAGAGCCCGGCGAAGACTCACTGAGGGTCCCATGGGCCTTGCCACCCACCCAGTGTTCTGTCGGCACCGATCAGGACCAGACTCCCATCCTCTTGGAGAAGATCAGGAATCTGTCATGTCTGGGGCTGAGGTTTCTAAACGTCACTCTCAGCATCACGGGCACCCTCCTTCAATAATTCCTAGTACGTGCCTGCATTACTGGGACTATTACAATTTTTAAAAACAGACTTGCTTTCAAAAACTCACATAGGGGCGCCTGGGTGGCTCAGCTGGTTCAGCACCCACCCCCTGGTTCCGGCTCAGGTTGTGATCTGGGGGTTGTGGGATCCAGGCCCCCCAGGGGGGCTCCACACTCCACGGGGAGGGTCTGCTTGAGATCCTCTCTCTCCCTCTGCCTCTCCCCCCACTCGCTTGCTCTCCCTAAAATCAATAAAATCTTGACAAAAAAAAAAACCCAAACAAACAAAACCCAATCAGCCACTAGATGGGTCGAGCTGGCCTGGTGGTAAATCCATGAATCAACTTACAATGCTGTTTTTCTCAATTAGCCATAAAAATAATCCAAAGGATTAAAATCGAAAATGTCGGGGATCCCTGGGTGGCTCAGGGGTCGAGCATCTGCCTTTGGCCCGGGGTGTGATCCTGCAGTCCCAGGATCGAGTCCCGCATCGGGCTCCCTGCATGGAGCCTTCCTGTCCCCTGGCCTCTCTCTGTGTCTCTCATGAATAAATAAATAAAATCTTTTATAAAAATGATAATCGAAAATGCCCGTGGCCGGCGTAGGCCGTTGGGCACACTCCTGGGGCTCGCTCGCAGCCCGGGAGACACTGCTGCGGCCCGGAGAGCGGCGGCGCGGGCGCACCTGAAGCACTGCAGCCGGAGGCCTCGGGCGAAGCGGCCAGCGGGGTACGCCTGTCCGTCCATGACCGAAGGGACCGTCTCCGTGTCCTGCACAAGCACAGCCATTTCGCTGTCGCGCCTTCCCAGCATGCTGCGGTCGTTGATGTTGGCAGAGCCTGGAACGGGAGACAGTGACCTGGAGCAACCTCTCGGCAGAGCAGGTGCATCGCCCCCCCCCCCCCGACCCCGGCCCCGGTCGGTCCCTGCTAAGAAAACCTCACTTGTGTTCAGGTTGCCGAGAGATGCTGGGGAAGGGGGGGGTCCCTGATCGGCCTAAGCCAGTGCTGGGAACCCTGTGATTTTTCCCCGTGACCGACTGGCTTGGGACGGGCACTTGACCTCATCGTAGCCAGGGTGACACGAGGGAAGCCTCGGGGGCTTCCTTATGAACACACCGGGATGCTGGCTCTTCCAGCCTTTTGCTCTTTCGGTCCCAGTGCGGGACGAGGCCACGGTTCCAGAAGCTGCGGGGACCGCGTTGTGAGCACGAGGGGACAAGCAGGCAGGCCAAGGGGGCCGAGCACTGGGAAGACAGACTCGGGTCTTCGAGTCCCTGAGTCAGGCAACCTTCTGGCCCGCCGGTGTGTGAAATGATACCCTTTGCTCGTTGTTTCACACACCTGGGGCTGAATGTCCCATCGGGTGGCTCAAAGGCGTCCAACTGATAAATCCTTAAGCTCACAAAGGAAAAGACTCAGCAGTTCAGTCCGGTCCCATCAGCTTTTAGACTTGGTCTGCAGAGCCGGATGACTTAACTCACGGCCATATAATTAGGAGTGTTAAGACCCCAGAGTCGCCTCACAACCAAGAATCCACACTCAAATACGGGTTGGCCTTAGCCTTTTTACGTCTGCCTGCCTCCCTCGCGTGGCACGCCAACAGCTTCCGTGTCAACCTCCTTCCATCCCATTTTTAAATCCAAAGGAGCTGAGAATGTGGACTTTCACACGTGAAGGGCAAGTGTCTTTAATATTAGTGCAACCTGTGCTTTTCCCAGTCCTCTGCTCTGTGCTCAGAACCCCCAGCGCGTGTTTTTCTGCATTCGTCACTATGCAGTCATGCTTTTGCATCCCTGAGGTGTCCTACAAACCACAGAAGGAACCGAACTCTTTTTTTTTTTTCTTTCTCTTCCCCTCGTCACACAACCCACGGCTTCTGTAGACATGGATTCGAAGGGTTGGGCAGAACAGGAGCAAGAGGCTACCCTCGGCGACAGGGACAGGCATGGAGTAAGGTGATGGAAGAGGCCTGCCCTGAGCCCAAATGGCAGCATGTCGTACACGAGCAAAAGCTGGCCCTCCCTAAGGAGATTTACTGCCAGTTGCCACAATAGTGTCGTGTACTAAATACACAGATCTATGATAACTATGCATGTGGCCGATGCCCCACAGTGACCTGGGGTGACAGGGAAAGGATGGAGCCCCTCACAGAAAGTTGGGAGCCCTGCTGGAGCTCTGTAACGTGGGGACAATCGACACACGTTGTTTTGTCAGCAACAGATCATCTTTTGTGCATGCGCTGGCGTTTTGATTATGCTATAAAATTTGCAGCCCTATTTTTGGGCTTCACAGTTGACCCGGCATCAATGTGGACAAAGGCCCTTCATCCCTCTCACCTTTAATCTGGTCTCTCACAAACTGGGATCATAATACAGGTCTTGTAGGGTTCTTGTGAGAAGTCAGTAAGACCATGGGAGAGAACTCACTAATTCACAAACTGCTCCACAGTGTTAAATATTATTGGTATAATTATCAGATACTTCGTTAGGGCTACCATATGTGGAGGAGAAGAGGAGGAGGGGACTTTAGATGAACTTGATAAAGGAGATCCTGAAAATGAGATATTGGTGTACTGTCACCTCCATTCTTAGTGTTAAACAGTCCCATATTCTGAAAATCAAATTCAGAACAGCAGATATATTGTTATCCCATTTCTTTTTTTTTTTTTGTTATCCCATTTCTAAATAACATATGAGGTAAAAAAGAAAGGGTTCTAGAAAGATTCACACTGAACTGCTGAGAGTGGTGGACTCCTTGTAGCGAAGAGGATTTTTGACCTTTTATTCAGTATGTGTCCTTAGAGTTTGAATTGTTTACAACGATCATGCCTTGTATTCCACGGGTAACTCTATATGGTAACTGCGATCCTTTGCTTTTATAAGCACATTGCCCTGATAATTTAAAACCACTTAATTTTTAGAGAATGACCTTTCCTAAGTCTTCTTATAGGAAACACTCTAAACACTGTGAACTACTGCAAAATACAAAAGAATATAAGAAAACATATATGTACCACTCAGGCAATAATAAAATAAACATCACTGAACTTATTCACCCGAGCTGAAAAACAAAACATTACCCATCCCAGAAGCCCTCAGATGTCTTCCCATGTAGACCTTTCCCCATCACGAGAGAGATTTTATATAGAATTTTGTGTTCATCACGCTCTGCATGCCCTCCTAATCAAAGAAATAGTCTACTTTTGACCCATATCATAATCTTTTGAGATTTGCTTCTTTTATTCAGTATGATGTCTTCAGGATTTATCTGTGTCTGACCGTAGTGCATTATTTTCCTCAAATGAGCATAGCAGGCCTTATTCATTCTAAACCCGTTGATGGATGTTTGGGTTGTTTCTAGTGTTTTTCTATGATGCTCACTTAGGCTCTCCTGACTGATGTGTTTCCTGGCGGGCACATGTGGGAGTCTGCTCGGGCTCTGTGCATAGCACTGGAGGAGGTCCTGGTGCCCCACGGCCTTGTCAGTACCTGGATTCTCCAACTTTTACATTTTTGCCAATTGGTATTTTTAAAAACTCTTGTCTCGTTAGATTAATGAGGATGAACATCTTTCAAATGTTTATGGGTTTATGGGCCTCAGGTACATCCTCTTTGATAATGTTCCTATACAATTCCTTTACCCATTTTCCTTTGGATGTTGTCTTTGTTTCTTGATTTATAGTAGTTTTTTTTTAAACAGGTTTTGAATATTAACTGTGTTGCAAATATCCTGTTTTCAGTTTATGGTTTATCTTTTTATCCCCTTTACAGTGCTGATTAATAAATATATTGTAAATTTTAATGCAGCTGGATTTGTCCGCCTTTTCCTTTGTGGTTTTTTAAAAAATGTCTTATTTCAGAAATTGTGATTCTTTCTATGGTAGGCAGAATAATGGCCCGCAGAATTGACCACGTTCTAACCTCCAGAGCCTGTGAATATGTTGTGTTACACGGCAAAGGGGGAATGAAGGTTGCTAATCAGTGGGCCTTAAAACAGGGTTGACTAGCCTGGATGATCCAGGTGGGCCCAGTATAATCACAAGAGTCTTTAAATGTGAAGGGGATTGAGAGAGATGTACTGATTACAGAAGTACGGGTTGAGACTTTTGGGGACCTTCACAGAGATGTCACATGTCAAAGATGGAGGAAGGGGGCATGAGCCAAGGAATGCTGACAGACTTCAGCATTGGAAAAGGCAAGGAATTAGATTCTAGATTTTCCCCTTGGAGCCCCCATGAAGGAATGCAGACCTGCCGACCTTGATTTTAGCCCAACGTTGGAGTTCCAACCCACACAACTGTTGGATTATTTATGTGTGCTGTTTGAAGCTACTAAGTTTGTGGTCATTTGTTATAGCAGTCACAGACAACTAATACATCAAATCCACCCTAACTCTACCCTATTTTAGCTTATTTATTTGAAAGGAAAACTGATTCTTCTATTGGGCCCAAATGGGCTACTTGGTACTTTCTACCCACTTGTGTTCCCTGGACCTCCAGTTCAGAAGTTCTCAGCTCTGACTTCATGTGAGCAGCACTTAGGAGGCTTTTAAAAAATATCAGTGCTGAAAACAAAAATAAAAATACCTTGATGTCTGGGTCCCAAACTGGACCATAATTAGAATTTCCAGAAGTAGGAACTTAGGTATTTTCCCCCAGTACCACTCCATGCCTTTATTTATGAATGCATCTTTCTGGGGGGGAGGGGGGAGGAGGATCTTTTTTTTTAAGCTTTATTTTATTTGAGAGAGAGAGAGAGAGAAAGAGAGAGCAGGCAATGTGAGCAGAGGGGGAAGGAAAGGGGCAGAGGGAGAGGGAGAGAATCTCAAGCAGACTCCCTGCTGAGCGGGGATCTCGACTTGGGGCTGGATCCCAGGACCCTGAGATCATGACCTGGGTCAAAGTCAAGAGTCAGACACTTAACCAACTGAACTACTCAGGCACCCTTTGGGGGATCTATTTTAAGGTAAATTGCAGACTTGAAGAAATGTCCCCCTAAATGATACGTATCCTTAAAGCTCCCCAGGCACCTCTAATGCAGCCAGGGTTGAGATCCATGGGATTAGATCAAGGGTAAACCCTCTTTCCTGGGGCAGCCCTTCAACAGACTTTCATCAGCCACTTTTAAGCCTGTTTTTTAAGCACTGATACTCATTTCCCCCCTTAGTTTCCCACCTACCAAACTCATTGATTGCCTCTGGACCTGCTTACTCCTGCTCAGAAATACCCACCGCGATGTTCTGGTGTTAAGAGGAAAGAATTCCTGCCTCCCCTCTAACCCTTGAGTTTTGTAAGCAGTGGCACTGTTTGATTCAAGTTTTGTATCTCCCCCCACCCCCGCCCCATTGTGCTTTGTAGTGGATTAGTGAATACTGAAAAAAACTGTTTCACTTCATCAATAGGATAGCCTTATTTTGTTGAGGAAAGCAAGCAAAATGTTAAGTTTGGTTAAGCACCAATATTAAGATGGATTAGAAAAGTGGACTTGGTCACGGATCTCATGACCAGCAGGGGTACTCGGGGCAAGAGATAATTAAAGCTGCACACAAAAGAAATCTTTAGTGCAAGAAAGCAAGTATTTCCTTATAAGGAAAAAGGGAGAATAAACAGTTGGTTTTCTTTTAAGTATTCAATAATTCTGGCAGACATTTACCATATTAGAAAATTTAACCACAGGTTACTTTAACCTCTTGGAAGCTTTTAAACACTTAACACCTGTAAAATATTTTCAACCTAACTTCTCAAACACCTCTCTCAGAATTTGAAATATTGTTCTCTGGGTTATGAATTTAAGCAGGGCTGATGTGTGGGAGCAGCAACAAACCTGCTTCTCTTTGAGTTTCCCCTGACGCAGGAAAAAACTAAAGTATATTTGGATTTTTCCATGGGGAAATCTGTTTTGCCCATGGGGAAGGAGAAAAAGAAGTCTAGCCCCTAAAGACTAGCAAGTAAAGCCTCTTCATACTCCCAAGGCCACTTCTTTGGTTTTAAGAAAATGTATAAGAATTATGTGCAAGATTGATTGATTATTGCTAGCCTAAATAAACTGTAGCCTTTGAGAGTTCAGAGAACTTTCTGGAAAAGCAGTCAATTAAAAAACTCAACAAACCTATTTAATCCCTAGCTCTGTTACTGCAAACTACTTTGCATTTATACAAAGTAAAGCACACTGAAAGCCAGAATGACCTTTTAAAAGAAAATATTTACATCTGTCAATTTTTACTTCAAGAGTTCTGAAATCCTGCTGAAGAAATCAGCCAATTTTTATTTGGCTTTGTTTGTTTTTCCATTTCAGCAAACATCAATACGTCTCTTTTCCTATTGTCACTGCCAAATTTAATATGAAAATATTCTAAGAATTGGCTTCTGAAGAGCAAGGCCAGGGTAGCTTGGGGGCAACAATAGAAACTTTGTTTATTGGGGGAATAGGAGAGTAAATAAATGCCTATAGAACTTGGATCCCTATACAGCAAGAGATCAAAGACACAGATATTTTTTAAATGCCCTGTATAACTATTAAAAGAATAGGTGTGTGTGTGTGTGCATATATATGTATTACCACACTGTAGGGTCTATACATTTTCTGGCTTCAGAATCACTTTTACTTTCTTTTCAAATCATGTTCCAGATAAGACAATTTCATTACTCCTAGATGAGATTTTTTTTTTCTTTTCTCAGTGGAGGATAGAGATGGAAATGGCATATTTACTGTCAAAAATTTCAAACCCTACCACATTTAGTTTCTCAAAGAATAGGGAAGATAGAGAAGTAGCTCATTATAGTTAAGAAATTATACTTTATTTTTTCTGGGAATTTATTTTTTAAGTTTCTATTTAAAATCCAGTTAGTTAACATTGTCTAATGTTAATTTCAGGTGGACAATACAGTGATTCAACCCTCACATACAGCATCCAGTGCTCATCACGGTAATGCCCTCCTTAATCCCCATCACTTGCTCCACCTACCCCCAACCCACGTCCCCTCTAGTAACCATTTTGTTCTCTATAGTTAGAGTCTGTTTCTTGGTTTGTCTCCCCCGCCCCCACTTTGTTCCTTTGTTTTGTTTCTTAAATTCCACATACTAGTGAAATCATACGGTACTTGTCTTTCTCTTACTTATTTCTCTTAGCATCATACCCATGTTATTGCAAATGGTTAGCCTTCATTTTATGGCTGAGTAATATTTCATTGTATATATATACCACATCTTCTTTATCCATTCATCAGTCAATAGACACTTGGACTGCTCATTTTCCCTCCCCTTGTCTCCCCCTTCTGCCCCTAAAATCTAGGTACTTGGATTCAAAATAAAAATAAGGGGGTAATAAAGAATTAATGAGAACAGGCTGATTGCTGCTCTGCTGGGTTAAACCACTGCTCTGGCTGCTGTAATATACACAATGGCCATTTAATGGTCCTGTGCTTCTGTTTCTTCACAGATAAAAACAGGGATTAGAAAGGACATAAGTGAACAAGAATGCTTCAGATGTCATGTTATGGTCCCTCTCAACTGTGAAGGAATCTTGGGAGGAAGTGAAAGGAGGATTATTGCATGAAGTCAACTAGCAAGCAACACAATAATAGGCCATGTACTTACCGATAATAACAGTGTTGTCATCCGCTATTAGCAACTTGCTGTGGACATAGATGAGCTCAGTGACTAGGTTTCCTTCAAGCTCTGCATGTGTTCTAAGGCCACAGAATGATATGTAATTTATCCACTGATTGCCAACTATAAAGTAAAAAAGAGAGTACTAAAATTAATATGACCAAGTTCAATAGAGGCACATTAAATTTTACTGTTTTTCAAAAGAAATCTACTACTTAAACAGTTGGTTAAAAATGGACTGTATAGCGTGTGTCTATATGTAATTTCAGAACTCACCCAGGTTCTCTTTTTGCTGTCAGAAGAGTTTTTTACTATTTATATGGATGGATATATATTTTTAAAAACCATACCAGAGTTACCAGAGTGCTTTGTAAGAATTATCTTTTCCCGAGGCAATCCAATAATATATACAATATGATGAAAAATTTATTTTAATGATTTGGCAAGTAACTACTGAAGAGTGATAATTAAAGCAGAGCCAGACTAGATAACTCAAGACTTCAGTGTGACATTTGCATCTATCTCGGTTGACACCTGCTGCAGTTTAAATTAGATCCAAAATAATGCCCAAACTACTCGATGTACACATAGTGTAGCATATTGAATGCAGAGCAGCAGTTAAATTTTATAAACTTTGGGTAAACAAAAATGCTGGCGATTAAATAATCCTCCTTCTAAATAATTAAAATTAGGAAATGAAAGAATCCTAACTATATTTGACTTTGGAGAATCTTCATCAGAGCAAGCCATACCAGGTTTGTACTTTAAAATGCCACCCTGAAAAAAAAACAAAATAAAATGCCACCCTGTCATCACATGAGGGCCATTCATGTGATAAGAAGAAATGCATTCCATATCAAGCCAGCCCATAACCATTATCCCAGCATGAATGCTAGTCACAGAATTTTATGGTCCCTCTCCCACATAGCAGTTGTCCTGGATAAGGAAAGTCTTATACTAAGAATAAATCGAGCGGAACCAAACCATCACGAGTTCTAATAGAAACAGAATATATATTTTTTTTCTTTAAGAGACTCTGAAGCATACTAATAAAAACAATAGCAGTTCATGTTCTGTTTACTGAAGTTTCCATGTATTACTGATGCTTTCTATTATTCTGTTAATGTTACTCAGGGTTTCTATTAAATTTGGATATCTTGGAAAGAAATTCATTCATAGGTTATATATAGAGATTCCTCCATTTACAGGTAACCTTTCTCTTAAAGATGTAAATAATATTATAGCTGTTTGTCAAGAGTTGATGTGTTGGTGTACTAGCACATCATGTGCAAGAGATGCATTTCTAAAAAGTTTCATGTTAATAGGATTTTTATAAATCAATTTCTTCCCCATTTATTAATGTTATATTGGAAAGATGCCTCATCTAAAGCATTAACTCCTCTTTAAATCTTCTCTGATCCAGGAGAAAGAGGCATTTCTTCTTTTAAGCCCATCATACACATAAAATTCCCGGAAAATATTTCTAATATAACACCTAGCATATTATTTTACAAATATTAATTTAATCCTCCATTTCTCCTACCATTATGGAGATCTTATACATTTTTGTATCTCCAAAAGAAAGGTAAATAAATGAGTGAATTCATGAATGGATAGTCAGCTGACAACTATTATTTTAGCTTTTGGTTTTTTTGTATTATCTATTTTCCTGCAGCTGGCTCATGAACTAAAGTTTTGAGATACAAAGCAGACTTTTAAAGGAATCATAGAGCAAATTCTTTGCTAAAGTAAATAATTTTTTGCAGTGACTTCCCATAAAAAGTCCACATTGAACAATATGGTAGGCCAATGGTTCTCAGTGTGCATAAGGACCTGTTAGAAGTAAAATCTGGAAACCCTCCCAGAGGTTCTGATTCAGGAGAAATCTGTAATTCAATAAATGCCTTAGAGGAGATAATACTTTGAATGATACTATTATAGAGCTTTGGTATTTATAGTCTTAAGACTAGTGGCACACTTTCAGAAAATCATACATCATGATAAAGTGAGATGCATTCCAGTGGTGCAAGTCTGCTCAATATGAGGACATCCATTAATATAAAACATGATAATGATAGTCAAGGAAGAAAAATCCTATGATTATAACAGATGCTTTTGAAAAGCTTTTGATACAATTCAGCACCAATTCTGGATAAAAACAATGAAGAAAGAAGAAAATGATGAATACTTTCTTAATATGCTTAAAAATATATAATATATATTATACATATACAATATATGTAGAGTATCTTCAATGCTATTTAACATTGCCTTGGACATATCAGCCAATACATTTAGACAAGAAAAATCACATAAGGAAAATCAGCTCCATTTCCACATAATATGATAGTACGCTTGGGGAATCAATGATAAAACTATCTCAAATGATAAAAGAATTCAATGTGATAACAGGATCTAAATTAACATATAGAAATCAATAGGCTTCATACACACAAACAATAACCATTTAGAGGATAAAATCAGACAATACACTGCTTACAATGGCAGTAAAAAGATAAAACACACAGATAAATGATAAACTATCAATAGACTTGCGGGTGCGGAATCTTTATGAAGAAAACGTTAAAATGCTATCAAAAGACACAACAATAGACTTGAACAAATGAAAAGACATGCCTTGTTCTGGGATAGAATAATTCAACATCAAGAGGATGCTAACTCTCTCCATGTTAATTTATAAATTTAATATAATCTCAGTAGAAACACCAACATGTTTTTATGGAGTCAGAAAACTTGACATATGGTAAAATAAACATCCATGAATGACTATGAAAAAAACTGGAAAAGAAAAGAACTGAGGAGGGCATTAACCCTGTCTGATATTAACACATACCAAAGCTGTATAATTAGAACAGTGTTGCTCCAGTACATAAACAGACAACTAAACCACTGAATGGAATAGGAAGTCAAGAAAGAAGCTCAAGCACATATAAAAATTTTGCATATGATAAAAGTGGCATCTCATATGACAAGGACTTTTGCATAAAGGCCTAGGGCTTTTAAATAAAAGGTACTAGTATCATTGAATAGCTATTTGAAAAAGAAAATTACATACATACCTTATACCAATCACAAGAGTAAACTCCAAATGGACAGAGATAGAAGTGCAAGCATATGAAAAGACACAAGTGTTAGAAGAAAACAGTGAATTCTTATATAACCCGGCGTGAGGAAGGCTTGTAACTATCTACAGGCAATACAAGAAAAATATCAGTAACTTTGCCTAGATTTTTAAAAAAAGAAAACACAGGATGGGGCACCTGGGTAGCTCAGGTCATGACCCTGGGGTCCTGGGATCAAGTCCCACATCAGGCTCCCCACAGGAGGCCTGCTTCTCCCTCTGCCTGTGTCCCTGCTTCTCTCTGTGTTTCATGAGAGCAAAATGTGGGACTCGATCCTGGATCCAGGGATCATGCCCTGAGCCGAAGGCAGATGCTCAACCGCTGAGCCACCCAGGCATCCCAGCCACTCAGGCATCCCTAAATAAAATCTTAAACACACACACACACACACACACACACACACACACACACACAGGATAGAAAACACCACAAGCAAAAAAAAGAAAAAAAGAAAAAGAAAAAAGATAAACGACAAAATGGGAGAAAGTATTCACGGCATGTATCATAGATAAACAGCTAAAAGTCAGAATCTATAAAGAAGTCCTAATAACTAAAGGGAGAAAAAGATCAAAATTTTGATGGAAAAAGTGAGCAAAAAACATAAATGGACAATTCACACAAATGAAAAGATATTCTTCCTCACTCATAACAGAAATGCAAAACTACACCAAGAAACCACTTCTTACCTATGATATTGACAAAAACGAACACATTCTGTTAGTGAGGCTGGGTTGAAGCAGGCTCTCTCATGCATTGGTGGTGAGAAACCAAATTGGTACCAATTTTTTTGGAGGGGGGAAGTTTGGCAATATCTAACAAAAAGGATATTTTAAAAATTGTTTCATTTATGTTTTCATCATGATAAAGTAGCTCCTTATTCTCCATCACCCATTTCCCCCAGTCCCGCCCCCCTCCCCTCCCCTCTGGTAACCATCAGCTTGTTCTCTATAGTTATGTCTGTGTCTTGGTTTGTGTCTCTTTCTTTTTCCCTTTGCTCCTTTGTTTTGTGTCTTAAATTCCACATATGAGTGAAATCATATATTTGTGTTTCTCTGACTTATTTTATTTAGCTTTAGCAACCCCATCCTAGACATTTACTCTAAATATACACTTCCAAACAATATATGCACAAGGTTATTCACTGCAGAACTGTCATCGAAAAATACTAAAAATAATCTAAATGCCCACACAGAGGGGAATGACTGTACCGACTATGGCAAATCTATACATGGACGACTATGCAGACATAAAAAGGAACGAAGAGCTCTATGAACTGATATGGGAGGGATAAGAACATATACATATATCTGCTCCTTTGTACAAAAAGAAACACTGTAAGAATAATCTAGAAACTGACAAAATTGGCTACCAATAGTGGATGTGAGGGAATAGGATAGAATAGATGGGTGGGGAGGAAACTGACAGAAGGTATAGGGAAGGGACACTTACCTACGGATGCCATTTTTATGGTTCTGACTATTGGAAGTATATCATATGCACACAAAGAAATCAAGAAAGAGATAGAAAAAAAACCCCTCCAAAATGGAATATAAACTGAAGGAAATGAATCTAACTATATTTCAAATTAATAACATAACCCAAGTAAATTTTGAACACTGACTTTTAAGCGTATATACCCTTTGGCTAGAGACAAAAAGAAATGCAAACAAATATTGAATTTAAGTGAGTAGGTTTATTTTTCATAGTGGTATGGGCTAGCAATTCTAAAACTATTTTCTGTATATTCTAGGATTGAGGAAATAAATCCATGTGTTGTAGATACCAGGAGCTAGGTTTATCACTGTAAGACAAATGAGTTATAAAAATAGAAAGAGAGATGGTTGGAAGAATTCTGTGGTGTGGGATTGGAATTAGGAGCATTAGTACAAAGACAGATGGATAAATTGATATATTGACGGGTGATAGATGGTAATCTGTATAAGATGGGTCTTAAAGCAATGATATCCCAGTAGCGATGAC